CTGCCTGTCCGGGGACCCCGCACACATGGGGGGACCTGGCCCGGTGTCCCCGCACCCACGGGGGAGACCTGGCCCGGTGTCCCTACACCCACGGGGGAAGCCCTGTCCTGGTGTCCCCTGGTGCCCACTGTAACCCTCCCCGCACACTGTAACTGTCCCCTCACATTGTAAACAATCGCACACACCGTAACCATCCCCGCACGCTGTAACCTTCCCCACACACCATAACTGTCCCTGCGCAGTGTAATCATCCCTGCACACCCTAACCGTCCCTGCACACGGTAACCTCGCACACTGTAACCCTCCCCCGCACACCGTAACCGTCCCCGCACACCGTAACCTCACACACCCTAACCCTCCCCACACACCGTAACCCTTCCCGCACACCCTAATCATCCCCGCACATCATAACCCTCCCTGTACCCCGTAACCTCACACACCCTAACTCTCCCCGCACACCATAACCATCCCCACACACTGTAACCTCGCACACCGTAACCATCCCCGCACACCGTAACCCTCCCCGCACACCATAACCTCACACACCCTAACCCTCCCCACACACCGTAACCATCCCCACACACCCCAACCCTCCCCACTTACTATAACCATCCCCACACACCGTAACCATCCCCACACACCCTAACCCTCCCCACTTACTATAACCATCCTCGCACACCATTACCCTCCCTGCACACCGTAACCATCCCCACACACCCTAACTCTCCCCGCACACCGTAACCATCCCCACTCACTATAACCATCCTCGCACACCATAACCATCCCCACACACCCAAACCCTCTCCGCACACCCTAACTCTCCCCGCACACTGTAACCATCCCCACTCACTATAACCGTTCCTGCTCACTATAACCATCCCCACACACTGTAACCATCCCCACACACCCAAACCCTCTCCGCACACCCTAACCCTCCCCGCACACCGTAACCATCCCCACTTACTATAACCATCCCCACACACCGTAACTATTCCCACACCCTAACCCTCTCCGCACACCCTAACCCACCCCGCACACCGTAACCATTCCCACACACCGTAACCCCCCACACGCGACGTGTGTCCGCCGCGGGTGTTCCCCGCTCACCGCCGCTCCCTCCCGCAGCGGCACCGCCGCAGGGACAGCCCGTGGCCGCAGGCCGCCCGCGCCCCTGGGCCATGGCCTCGCCGTGCGCGGCGTGCTCCCGCTGCAGCCTGCACGCCGAGCCCGTGCCGCCCGAGGGCGCCGAGCCCACCGCCAGCGCCACCATCTCCCTGTGGACCGTGGTGGCCGCCGTGCAGGCCGTGGAGCGGCGCGTCGACGCGCACGCCGCGCGGCTGCTCAACCTGGAGCGGCGCGCCGCCACCGCCGACAAGAAGCACGTGGACTGCGAGAAGACGGTGGTGGATTTCGGCAACCAGCTGGAGAGCAAGCTGGCCGTGCTGGGCACCCTCATCCAGGAGTACGGGCGGCTCCAGCGGCGCCTCGAGAGCATGGAGGAGCTGCTGCGCAACGGGAACCTCTGGGTGCTGCGCCTGCCGCCCGGCGCCAAGGGCGACGGGCCCAAGGTGACACGTGGCTCCGCGACACTCGGACGGGGTGGCGCTTGTGCCTCGCTCGGGGAGCGCTGCGCCTTGGGAAGAGCTGGAGGGCTGACAAGTACGGAAGGACATGAAGGGGGAATGTAGGGAGGAAGGGGCCGAGCTCTTCTCGGTGGTGGCCAGTGGCAGGCCAAGGGGCAGTGGGGACAAGGTGACACCCAGCAGGTCCCATCTCCACGGGAGGAAGAGCTGCTGCACTGGGAGGTGCCCGAGCCCTGGCCCAGGCTGCCCAGGGAGGCTGCGGAGGCTCCTGCTCTGGGCATCTCCCCAAGCCGCCCGGGTGCCACCGGGTGCCCCGTGCTCTGGTGTCCCTGCTGGAGTAGGGGCTGCACTGGGGGAGCTCCAGAGGTCCCTCTAACCCCAACCCTTCTGGGATTCAGGGATTCTGTGACAAGGGACGTTTCAAACTGCCTGTGCAGGTTCCAAAACTCCTTGTTTTTGCCTCTTCATGTGCATGAGCTGCAGTATCCGCATGGGAGGCTGAGCGCTGCACGTGGAGGCCCGTAGACACGAGCGCCTTGAGCTCTGCAGCGAAACCGCGGGTGCTCCCGGGCGCTCCCGGCACAGCAGTTTGGTTTGAGGGAATGGCGTTGCCTTTAGAAATGACCAGAGCAGCAGGAAGGGACCTCCGGATCTGCCCGGGTGTCCCCGTGTCCTGAGCAGCCTCCGGTACCCCAGTGTCACCCGGAGACGTCTGTCAAACCGACTGGAAAGGCTGCAGTGCCTCCCCACGGCAGCGCTCCCAGCCTGCTCCGGAGCTGCCTGTCCTTTCTGCTGCACACGAAGCAGATCGTTCTCTTCCTGCCCCTAGGAGAAAAATCCCATGTCCTGTGATCCCATCACACACGATCTGTGGTGTTTCCCAGAGATATTTCCTCAACACCACCTCAAAACGGGGGCCCGAAAGGCGCCTCCGGGGCCAGCCAGGGCTCTGCAAGGGGCAGCTCGGAAGCTGACGCTGCCGTCGTGTGCTCGCTGCAGCCCACCCGTACGAGCAGCAGCTCCCACTCACCCTTAAATATTCAGTGAGACCCCCAGAAACTGCTCGTCTTCCCATTGCTTTTTGCAGAATTGCTGCCACGAGCAAGCACTGCTCGTTCACACTGCTGGAAATGGTGGAAATCGTCAATAAAAATCCGAAACTTCCCTCTTCTCAGTGCTCTAAGGAGGCAGGGCCAGACGAGGGGCTGAGTTTGGAACATCTGTGCTTACAGGTCGCAACGGCAGCTGGGAATAACACCGCTTCCTTTCTGGAGCAAGAGTGGGAGCGTCTGGAAGAAGAGCAGAAGGAGCTGTACAAGAACAACATGGTGAAGGGGGACTATGAGCCTCTCATCTCTCTGGGTAAATATCACCTTTTTTCAGGCATTTTTTGGTGCTTCTGGACTAACTTTGTTTCGGGGACTGGTGGGCTGTGCGGCGGCTGTTAAATGTTTGTACCACCTACATTACGGAACGTGCTGGTGGTACATACCAGGAACATACAGGTCCATACAGGTACGGAACATGCTGGGGGGGAGAGAAACCCCCCCACCACCACCATCGCCAGTGCGCAGGCTGTTGTCTAAAGTACAGCCGGTTCTGCTCGCAGAGACACTGCTCCGATGGGCTGTGCACAGCCAGACCGCGGGGCGTCTGGAGCAGGCGCTGAGGAGGGGCCAGGCTGGGTGAAAGGCAGTCGATGTGGATGGTCAGGGAGGTCATTCCCCTCCTCGGGCCTAGGGAGGGGTTTGGCCAAGGCCACCCTGGCACTGGGGTGGCCGTGGCCGGTGGTTCGGTGCCGTGGCGGGTCCCGCGGCAGCTGGAACCGTCGGTACGCGTGTTCGTCCACAGACTGTGCGAGCTCCAAGCCTGACCCCCTGTGCCAGGCTGAGAAGGGAGGAGCGCCGTGCGGCGGGAGCCAGCGGGACGCTGCGGCGGGAGCCGGCGCAGGCAAGAGAGGCGCTGCGGGTTTGTCCTGGGGCACAGGGTTTGGCGGGGGTGTCACGGAGGACATCGCCGGGGGACCGTCCCCGTTTGCTGCGGACGGAGCCTGTCCTGTCTTGCTGAGCGGGAGGGTCGGGGGAAGCGGGTGCTGGAGAGAACGTAACGGGATGGGTGTTTCCCGTTAGCGGAGTCTGCGGCGTTGGCAGGGGATGTGAGCGGGCAGGACGGCGCGGGAGGAGCGCAGCGCCTCAGGGGACACGGCGACTCGAAGGAGGGAGCGAACCCGCTGGCTGAGCCCAGAGCCGGAGAGTGTCACTGCGCAGGAGGTGCCTGGACCACCCTGAAGCAGCAGCTGAGAGGTGAGAGGGAAACTGCTGCTCCAGAGAGCTGCGAAAGCTCCGAGGAGCGAGTGGGAGGCAGAGGAGAGAGGCTGGGGCTGAAAGCAGGGTGGCTGGGTGGCACCTTTGGCACTGCAGGGGAAGAGCCAAAGGGTGCTGTGGTCTCAGCAGTGAGATTTGGGTGTCCTGTCTGTGTTAGCAGGGCACAGCGTGGCGGAGGGCGGCTTGCCGTGCCTCGTGAAGCAGGAGGAGCCGTGTGTGGAGCTGGATGCGGCTCCGGAGGAAGAGGAATTCTCCGAGCTCGGTGCGGGTGAGTCCCGGGCAGGCCCACGGGCGCTGCACAGGCGGAGATGGCAGAGAACTGACGCCACAGCGTCACCTGTAACCCTCCCGCTGGCACCACCGAGCTGTGGGGACTAAGCAGAGGCAGGCGGGAGGGTGAAGGAAGCCCAAGGACCCCAGTGAGGTTAGGAAAGGCAGGAGGAGTCGCTGCTCCCGAAAAGGTCAGGAGTGTGGGAAGGACCCTTGGCTCTTCCTCGCGTCAGGATCAGGACAGCCCCTAGAGAAACCAGTGGCCCTGGAGCTTCTGAGCAGCTGGCTCCGGGAGCTCCCTCCTGCTGCTGCCGTCTCCTGCTGCCCCTGCATAGCTCCCATCCCCTGCTGCTCCTTTCCTGGCACTCCTGCTCCGTGGGAGCGTTCCCGGCACAGGCAGCTGCTCCGGAGCGGTCCCGCGGCAGCCGCCTGACGGTCGTGGTGAGCGCTGGGCTGGGCGCTCTCGCATGCCAGGGCTGCAGTAGCGTTGCCTGCCTGCTGAGCAGACTGGTGCCAGCTCAGTGCCCACTGCCCAGCCGTAGATGTTCTTCCTCCCTTCTGTTCTCCGTGTTCTCTGTGCGGCATCGCTCCCCTTGTGCGGCCAGGTCTGGTTTTGATGTTGTTCCCTGCTGCTAAAACGGACATCATGGCTCCAAGATGGCCAGTAACGAAGCTCAGCAGAGCTTCACGGCCTCGAGAAAGCCTGCATGGCATTTTCCAATAACACACGTGTCCACAGCACGGGCAGGTGTGTCTGAGAGTCCCCAACAGCTCGTGTTCCTGTGTCCTCTTATAGAAAGGGGCTGCACAGATGGGTCCATGGCTGGAGAACAGAGGGAAGGTAGATCCCAAGGAGTGGCTGGAGCTCCCTGAGCAGTGGGGAACACTGAGTGGTTGGTGGGGAAGGGAAGGCGGATACACAGGAAGCAAAGGGCTGCCCCAGGTTCATGAAATCACAGAATCCTTAAGGTTGGAAGGGACTTGTAGAGATGATCTAGTCCAACCCCCTGCACACCCAGGGTCACCAGGTGGCACCCGGTGGCACCCAGGCGGCTTGGGGAGATGCCCAGAGCAGGAGCCTCCGCAGCCTCCCTGGGCAGCCTGGGCCAGGGCTCAGGCACCCTCCCAGTTAAGGAAATTTCCCTTAAGTCCCTGCAGAACTTTGGTGCTTCAGTTGGTGGCCGTTTCCTCCCGGCTGGCTCTGCTGGGCTCTGCTCGGTTCGTGTGCAGGGGCTGGGGGCCAGCGGTGCCTCGTGTCCCCGGCAGTGAATGTGCCCTGTGTCCCTGTTGGCAGTGCCGGCGGACGAGGTGCTGGCGTTCAAAATAGAAGAGGACCCTGAGGAGTGTCCACGGAGCTCAGCGCTGCCCGGCGTTTTCCCCGGGGAAGAGCAGGAGCTCGAGTTCCAGGCTCCCGCCGAGGAGCTGCCCTTCGACGGCCAGTACGGCTGCGTGGTGCAGGAGGACGCCGAGAGGACGAGCGGGCCGCTGCAGCCGGAGCAGGAGGCTGCGGGCGAAGGCGGCAGCAGCCCCGTGTACGGGCCGAGCCCGCAGCCCGGCCCGCGGGAGCCCGGCGAGGCCGCGAGGC